TTGCTACCTCTGTTTTTTTCTGGGCTCCTGTCACATGGAGAATTGTTTTCTATCTTTTCGCTTTCAGTCTATGGGCTTCTTTTTGCACTAGGTGTATTTCTTGTATACAACATATTATTGGATTGTGCTTCTTATTCCATTTTGCCAGTCTATTTCTCTTGATTGGTGAGTTGAGGCCATTGACATTGCTGGTTATAACTGATATGTACTGACTTATTATTGACATGTTATTGGCCTTTTGTTGACTCTTTTTACCTTTTCACCTTCTCCTTTTAATTTCTTGCCTTGCCTATTTGATTTGCTCTGTTGGGCCTCATGCTGTTGTTGCCTTCATTGTCTTTTTCTAGGATCTTGTTTAGAATTCCTTGTAGTACTGGTTTGGTATTCATGTAGTTTCTCAGGTGTTCTTTGTCATGGAAGTGTCTTATTTCCCCATCCATTTTGCAAGAGAGTTTTGCTGGATACATCAGTCTAGGTTGGAGGTTGTTCTCTTTTAGTACTTGAAATATCTCATTCCAGGCTCTCCTCGACTCAAGGGTTTGTGTTGAAAAGTCTTCTGTGATTCTGATGGGCTTTCCTTTGTATGTGATTTGTTTCTTTTCTCTTACTGCTTGTAGTATTTTGTTCTTCTGTTGGGTTTCTGGGATCTTGATTATTGCATTTCTAGGTGTAGATTTTTTTTTTATTGTAGCTAGTTGGGGTCCTATATGCCTCAGTTATCTGAATGTCAAATTCTGCCCCTCTGTTTTGGAAGTTTTCTGTCATTAATTCTACAAACAGCTTTTTAAAGACATTTGTATTTTTCTCCTGCTACTTCTTGTATTCCTAACAGTCTTATGTTATTCTTCTTTGCATCATCTAGGAGTTGTTGGATCGATTTCTCATGATCTCTTACTATTTTTAATAGACCTCTCTTTTCATGGTCACTGACTGCAATCTTATCTTCTATATCTGAGAGCCTATCTTCGCATTCTTTTATTCTGTTGCGTACACTTTCTATGGTGTGTTTAATCTCCTGGATAACTGTTTGAATCTGTTTTATGGATTCCATTTCTTTCCTATGTTCGGCATTTATATTTTCCATTTCTTTCTTATCCTGGGCCTTCATGGCTTCTATCATGGTCCTGAGCTCATCTATTTTTTTGTCAGTTTCTGCTCTAGAGTCTCGAATCATGACTTCCATTTTGCTCACTATCTCTATGGTTATCTGGGAAATTATTTCTGTTTTGAATTTTTCCAGAGCCTGATTGATCTGTTTTGTTACTTCCTGTGCTTTGAATTCAGGGTGTCCTGGTGGTTCACTATCGGCCTTTTCATCCTCATTTGCCCTACTGTTTGCCATTGGTAAACTGGAAGTCTGTCCTTGTGTTTTGCTTAAGTGTTTTCTCATTTTAATTTTTGTTGTCAGACTGTCCTTGGTTTAATCTCTGGATTATCACCCAAATCTTCCTGATACAGTTGCACCCTAGCTTCTGTGTCTCTAACGACCCACAGACATTCTCATCTTCATAACATCAGAGAAAACAGCTCATCAAATCAACGGCAATGTTTTACCCCAACTGATACAATCAGCAACACATTAAGATCAAGCACAACTTGGACACTGACCACCTGTGGTAGTCACTAGTCTATCACCCTTAAATCATTTGAATTAAATTGAAATCAAGAAGCAGTCCAGAACATATCTGCAGTGAACAAAATTTCAATATAGTGTATTTAGCATTTAATGGCTCAGACAGAGGGAAGATGCAAGATCCCTGATCTCAGTTAGCTGATGGCTGAACCCCTGATGCTGACTGACCTCGGGCTGCAAGGCCCAGATTGAGTTCTTCATCCTTCTGAATGGTTGAACTCCACAACGTTCTATTACAGGTTTCCCATGCCCTTTCTTTAAAGATTTTCAAAGTTGGGAACTCAGAAAAATACCCTTGATGACCACCTCTCTTTGCAGAGTGGGTCCAAAGACTGGCACAGTCAGGAGGTCTGAGAGTGCTGGGGGGAGAGGCTTATGGGGGTTCAGGGGCGCCTGTGTGGCTGCTTTACCAGAGCTATGGTGGCTGGGTCGGGAGCAGGCATGGTTCTCCTTCCCGCGGTGGATCGGGGCCCAGCCTACCTCCCGACACTTGAGCATTGGCCTTGACTAATATTTGTTATCAAGACTAATACTTGTAATCCTCTTTCTTCAGCATAGGAGATTGACATTCGTGTGTGTATATGTAAGAGAAGTAGTCTTATGGCCATTGTATTTGAATCCCTAGTATGAACTGTTATGGCAGGTAGAGGTATATTTGGAAACACATTTATGGCTGTGCTTTTCCTTAAAGTAAAGGAATAACAAGTTGACTTTCAAGAATCTCTTAGATATGTGACTCCAGACTATTATTGTATATTGAAATCAGTGGATTGAGAAACACCAATGTTATAGTTCAGAAAGTGTAGGGGACTCAGATATTTAGAAGAAATAAAGATTCAAACCCAGGATTGAAGATAAATAGCAAGGTGACCTTTTGCATCAGCTTTAAATTTGGAAAGAAGGCTCTTAGGTTGTTGCTGAAACGTGTTTGTTCAGTACACATTGATCCAGCAACATGTAACTGCACTCTATCAAGCTAATGACTCCCATCTTCACCTACCAAGGATTCCTCTCTTGTACACCAACGTAGATTTTGTTGGGGTGCTGTGTTCTTTCAAGATTAAGACAGCTGCTCTCCTCTAGATTAGAGATCCTGCATGTTAATGTCCTTGATTTACTTAAACAGTTGAAACAAGATTTACAATTTAATTAGAGAGGAGCTGTGATCTATCTGAGGACCATTCCTTCAGTAACTTACAGAGGCTCACTTGTAGGGGAGAGAGGACTGTAGCTCTTTCAGGGAGGTTCTACCTGAGCCCAGAAAATATATTAAGAACCCCATGTTATCTTTCTGATGCTGTGTATCTGCAATTGCTGGTAGATTTTCCTTCTGTCTTTGTATTATATCTTGGCTTCTGCCTAGGGTATGGCTTCTTGCTGATTGATCCTAATGTGCTCTCATTCCATTTTCCTGCAGTCAGTAAATCTCTGTGCCAGGTAAGCATAGCATACAGCTGAGGTGTGGGTGGGAAGAGGCTTGTTCAAAATGCAGGTTCCTGGGCTGCATCTCTAACCTTTCTAACCTTTGAGGGCTGTAATGTGGTCCAGAAACCTCACTTCCAGCAATTCCAGACCTTCCAGCGATTCCAAACAAGTCCTTAGACCTTAGACCTCACACCTTTGTAAAACACTGCCAAGTGGGATGGATGCCTAGTGTCCTGCACATGTGCACTGCAACCTGTGGCTGTGGCTCACTATCCTGTCCTTGCTGCTCTTATTTAGGCACTGGAAGACTGAGAGACTTGGGTTCTGAGAAGGGGGAATGGGAGGGTTAGGGGAAAGGAAAGAAGGGAAAGGAATAAATATGAGAAAAGGAAAAAATGGAAACAAAGTCTTTGTACATAGGGAGGGGTGGAGGGGTTGAAGGGAAGGCAGGGGACTGGGGAAAAAATAAGAACCAAGATAGATTATGTGAAGGTGCAAATTTCCAATGATGAGTGTCATTATATTGTGCACCCAAAATGTACCAATAAAATAAATAACAACAACAACAACAACAACAACAATAATAATAATAATAATAATAATAGAAAGATAAGAGAATCAAGCTAGTGAGGGGGGTTGAAATGAAACAGACATCCTAATTGCATTGTTAGCATGCACTTTTGCCAGCTCCAGCTCTATGGAAAGTGCATGCTAACAATGCAATTAGGATTTTTGTTTTGTTTTGTTTGTTTGAGACAGGGTCTCACTCTGTAGTTGAGACTGACCTGGAACTCACTATGTGGCCCAGGCTGGTCTTGAACTCACAGCGATACTCCTGCCTCAGCCTCCCAAGTTCTGGGATTGCAGGTGTGCACCACCATACCTGGCACAGCCAGCTACCAGCCTTCAGGTAGAGTTTCAGGCAGATCACTGTGAGTTTTGATTTGCCTCCCTAATATGTCTATCAAGAAGTTAGTTGGCTTTGGTGGTATGTGCTATTCACTACATGATTCTTTTGGTTGTGACTCAAAGTTGGAAATGTGTGTACAGATCTGTGGCCCTCCTGCATCTATTCAGACCCACAGTGGTCCTGGTTTGTACATGGAGAACCTGTTCCAAGACCCCCAGAGGATGCCCACAACTGTGGTTAGTACTGAATGCTATATATACCTTGTTTTTCTTATTTGTTTCCATGGATCCTCACAACCTCAACATATGACTTCTTTCTTTCCTTATTGAGTAGAGAACTTTCACCTTTTAACTTATAGTACCAATCATGATGAGGTATTAATCATGGAGCATTTCAGACTGTAAAACTGTTTCGAATTTTGTTTCTTTCTCATCTTTGAATTGATTTTTAGCTATAGGCATACCTCATTTTCTTGCTATATTATGCTTAACATACATATTCTCACACTATTTAATTCATGCAGAATATTCTTTTACCTAATGTTGTCTTACTCCTTTCTTTTCAATAGTCTTAGATTGCCATTTTATATTCTTTTCTCTAATATTCTATTTAATCATCTTTCATTTTCTATTATCTTTATTGTGTACTTTTTAATTTATATTTTTATCTATTTTGATCATTTTATAGCTATGATTTTTTGTAAACAGTGACATTTCATTTAGGGTGAGTCCTTTGCACTTTTAGAATTTATTTATTTTTTTTTCAGTACCAGAGATCAAACTCAGGACCTTGCACTTGCCAGGCAGGCGTAGCACTGGTGGGCTATATCCCTGGCTCTTGCAATTTTTTAGTATAGGAAAATTACTTTCAAATTAGACAGATTTGTTGTACTAGCCTTCATGACTTGCTTTGTCTGCATCCCAGTGCTTTATTTATGCTTTCATTATAAGAAGTGTGCTTCACTCCAGAGTCATTTGGAATCTGTGCTGTTTACACTCTGCTTCCCTGGGGGCAGGTTTATGAGTAGCTGGCTCGCTCGAGCAAGGTGGCACTGCCATGTTCCTGGATGCCAACTTTCTGTGACATGGACTGGAGGCAAGACCAGAAGGTCAGTAGTTTAAAATTTCTGAAATTGGCACTTTTATTAAAAACAAATTGTGTCCTTGGTAAGACAGTCTATGTATAATATTAAATTTGTTATTATTGTTACTATTATAGTGGGTGAGGTGTGTTGTTTACTTTCCTACCTTTGAGAAATCTTTGCAACAAGCTTCATGGTGCAGCGCTTTTGTCATCAATGGAAATAGACTAGGATTTTAAGATTGTTTTATTTAGAATACATGAGACCTGTCCAAAGACCTGAGAAAAATCTGGCCAAATACTATCCAAAATGTTTATATCAGTTCTCTCACTTGCAAAGAGTGTTGTCCATGGTTTAGCAAAAGGATCCTACTTTCAAGTAAAAGAAACTCAAACAATGGCTAGGATTTTGCCAGTAGGAAAATCACAACAGCCAACAGTTTCCAGAAGCCTCTGCATGAGTATTACTCACTGGCTCTGAGAATCCTCAGAGCAAGTTAAGTGTGCCTCGGGGTCACTACTGAGCTTCATTCACAGCTGGGGATCCCTTCAGTGACATCAGCTTGGTGGCACCATCAGTTATTATTTGCTATTTATGGATATTTGGTCATCCATGGGTCACTTTCTAGTTTATTTCCATCTATACCCTTGTTGGATGAAATCTCTAAATAGACTTTATCTTCCTTGTTTCAAATAAATTGAAAACTGTGTTTCAGAGATACTTACTGAATCAGCTTGGATGAATCATGTCTTTACTCTTCCACAAGCATTATTGAGAATTTATGAGTACGTGTGTCTACTGAAAGTGAAGATAGCTTTATTTTTAATATCTGCTGTAACAATAAACATATCAATAAGTAGATTTTTGAACTCTCTATCATCTATCTATCTATCTATCTATCTATCTATCTATCCTGTTGGAGGGGGGAGAGAGAGATAGAGACAGAGATAGAGAGGGGAGAGGGAGGGAGAGAAAGAGACAGAGAGGAGATTGGCTCATGTGATTGTGGAGTGGGAGGCCAGCAAGTTAATTTAGGAAAGATTTTTGTGATGGAAGTCAGGTCTAAAGCCAGTCTGCAGGCAAAAGTTCCTCTGTCTGATGATGATCACCCATAATATGAAGAAGAAGTTGCTTTATTCAAAGTCTACTGATTTAAATAAAAATACAGTGACAGAAGCATTTCAAATAGTATTTGAGCAACTCTCTGGATACTGTGATCTATCCAGATTGATACATAAAATTAGCCATCCTATACCCCAACTTTCTCTTGGAAAACTCCCTTCCCTGGTCCATATGCTCCATGTTCTTGGAGCTGAAGTGTCTTCCTAGCTTCAGCAGTGGAAATGTGACACAGGCCTGGATTATTATAACATTGATTTCCTTGACCAAAGAGTTGTTTCAAGGATTGAAATAGGACCAAACCCAAGCCAGTGAGAGTCTGTTATGGGGATTTTGCTGGAAGAACAATGACTGAGGCTTTGTTTTATTCTTAGAATTCAGGTGCAAAAGGCCTGAGAATCTGAGCTGAGGAGGCCATCTTGGCCGCACATAGAGAAATCTTGCTTGGAAATTAAACCAATATGGGGAAGAAAACAGGGATGAGAGATGGAGAATAAGACTATTTGTGGGAGCCAGTCATGACCCACTGACATTTGACATTTGAAAGATAACTTCTTTCTTTATAATCAAGGCTTTGACACAATGTGGTCAGGATGTTTCTAATTAGCATTTGTTAACATTTGTTCCTTTTTAACGACTGCATGTGTTAAACTTGTTTTTGACTCTGCATGAGAGAAACTTGAAGAGATAGCCAAAGATCTGACATTATCTGTAGGAGTCAGGTGTTTCCTGTTAAAGATCTGACGTTATCTGTAGGAGTCAGGTGCTTCCTGTTGATGTGCCTTTAAAAGGAGCTGTTTCTGTGAAATAAATCAGACTTCTCTTGGTCTCCACTCAGGCGTGAGTGTTCTTTCCTTTCTCAATCCTCACTCCCCAACTCAGGCATGTTTGTGTTGTGACAGCTGGACCACCACAAGTGGCACCTGAACAGCGACCTGAGTATCGAGGGATCCAGTGAAGGACACCGCAGAGAAGAACAAGGCCTCAATGAAAAGGTAAGGAGCAGTGAATTTTCTTGTAAATATTAAATATGGGAGCCAGCAATAGTTGCATGCTTTTTGTACATATGCTTAAAGATTTATTGTGTGTCGGTGGTGCTAGAGTAGGGCACCAGCAATTGTGTAATTTTTTAGAATTTGTAGAAATAGTTTGTCCTTGGTTTCCTTTTCTTTGCTTCTGTGTCTTTCTTTTCCTGTTAATGTCTGAATTGGTAATTTGTGATCCGGATCATTTTGGAGGCAGGGAAGCAGGTCCAGGCAGACGTGCTAGTGCACTCCCTGCTGCAGGGGCCGGAGAGGTCCTTTGCCCCTCTGGTAGGAACTCTGTCTCTCTGTTTATGGGGAGGGAGGTTGATTTTTTTTCCCCTTTTCAAGACCCTCTGGTCAAAAGAGAGAGAGTTCTTCTGGTTTCAGAAGAAGAGATTAAGGGGATTCCCCAACAGTCTCTGGCTCTTCTTTGGTGTGGTTTTCGTAAGCCTTTGTCTTACATTCTGTTTGGCCTCTTTTGCTCCCGTGTTTGTCTGTTTGCTTATATTGAATTTTCTGATAAAATGGGAGGGAGCTCATCTACCCCCCCACTTTGATTTTAAACCATTTCCAGGAGGTCCGTCAGACTGCAGCTGACCTGGGATTCCCCATAATTAAAGAAATTTCAAAACAACCCAGCCTAGGAGTTGATCAAACTGCTCTGTGACAGTCAACTGCTAGTAAAAACTATTTAGTTTTGGTAACACTTCTTGTGCATTATAAATTCTTAAACTGTGATTATAGGGTTAACTTGCTCTTTTCTAAATATTCAAGGTTAATAGTGTTCTATTGGCAGCCAGTCAAATTTGAAGATGTAACAATCTGAAAACAGAAAAAGGACACTTTAAAGTGAAGTTTGTTATAAAAGGATAATAGTAAATGAGGCAGAAAAATATTAGGAAAGCTATAAGTAAGAGTTATACTTTTTGACATGAAAGGTTTTTGTATGTTCATCTTGTTAAAAACAGGTAAAGAAAGATATACAAGACCAGAAGGCCTACATATGTAGAGAAGGTGTGTGGAAATGATTTATTTATGTTTGCTTGTTGGTTTCAAGTTATAAAAGGTTTACATTTATAGTCAAGAAGAGTTTTCATTCCTTTAACCCTAATTCTACAAGAGATCTGTTAATTTTGACCTGCAAAAATTTTGACTAGTCATAACAAAAAGATTTTATAATTCAATTGGCCAAAACCATCTGAGTGCACTCTAGTTTAAACTGTTTTATATGTTTGTCTGTCTAAGTGTTCAAAAGTGTTTGTCTGATTGTTTTTGATCAAAATGACATCAAATACAAATTGTTGATTTATACAACCTGGCTTTATAGGATCAAATAAAAAAATTAAAAGATAATTGAATATAAACCTTTAAGTTTGGATACACTCCTGTTGGTAAATAAAGAAGCAGCTGCTCAGAAAATTTATTCTGATCTTTGTTCACTAATGGGAGCCGCCCAAATAATTTTCATAGCCTTATAAAAGATATGCCTTGTTAAATATGTTGTTAAAATGTTTACATTTGTTATAATCAAAAGGCTGAATTCTAAACATGTTATTGTAACATGTTTATGATGGTTATCTTCAAAATATAATATTTTCTGTAAAAAGGAAGATCCTGTTGATACAAAGCTACATTACAGGACATAAGATTTCATATAATTATAACAGTTATTATCGCTACCTTTCTGGTATACAAAATGTATTTATATTGTTTGACCATGCAGGTTTTCCAGCATATTTTTTATGATGATAACCCTTTGGTCCAGGTATTCTCCCCTCTCTTCTGCTCCACCTACTTATGGTTACAGGTACATTTATAGACCCACCACTAACCCTGAACAGCTTGATTCTGGGTTTCCACTGAGGAGACTGGATTGGGACCCTGACACTGAAGCAGCAGAGAAAACTCCAGGATGTGTCTCGGTGCAAAAGTGGAAATTTCATTCCAAAAAGCAAAAAGTTTCCCTTCTTTATCCAGAACAAGGATTTAATGGGACTGGTGAACCTCCACAGTCCTTAATACTATGATTTTATGGAAAAGATGTTATGTTATTATACCTCAGGAAAGGTTATTTAATGACACATCTCAAAAGTTTTTGGACTGATCACTTGGAAATTCCACAAATTTATGCTTATCTGAAGGACTTTGGTGGACAGATTCAGGTTTTTCTCAAACCAACATTTGGAAACTTGCTGCTGCATTGGGAGAAATATGTTTATGGTCAGATGTCAAAGTTACTAGCCTTAGTTTCAATGTTTTTGGCATGGGGCCTCTAATATGTGAAATACCATAAATACTGTGTTGATCTCAAGTCAAAGAACAAAAGAAGAGAATGTCTTGTGTTAATGCTCCTTATATGTTATTAGTAAAAAGTACAGAGATTGTAAATGAAACTGATAATGAATATGATAACAGCTGTTTTAATTGTATATTGATTAATTGTATATTTTCAGAAATGATGACTTCCTTTCATTCTGTGATAGTTTTGAGACAACCTCCCTTGGTAAGGATGCCTGTAACAACCTAATGAGTCCTGGTGTGAAGATCAAGGTTTACAAATATTGATAGAGGTAGAGAAAGCTATATGTCAGGCCTTCACAACCCATGGTATAACCCCTGCAGAGGATGGTAGTCAAAGATGGGTAAGAGAATTGTGGAGAAATATCCAACCTAAGACAGAGCATGAGTATTAAACTTCTCATGGCTTGATGATGGGTAAGGGATTTCTCTGGACATTTCTCACCTAAGACAGGCACAGCCTTTCTGCTGAGCTGGGAAAGTTCCTGCTCTAAATATAATAAAAAAGGGGGAAATGTGGGAGCCAGTCATGACCCACTGGCATTTGGCATTTGAAAGATAACTTCTTTCTTTATAATCAAGGCATTGACACAATGTGGTCAGGATGTTCCTAATTAGCATTTGTTAACATTTGTTCCTTTTTAAGGACTCTATGTGTTAAACTTGTTTTTGACTGCATGAGAGAAACTTGAAGAGATAGCCAAAGATCTGATGTTATCTGTAGGAGTCAGGTGCTTCCTGTTGATGTGCCTTTAAAAGGAGATATTTCTGTGAAGTAAATCAGACTTCTCTTGGTCTCCACTCAGGTGTGAGTGTTCTTTCCTTTCTCAATCCTCACTCCCCAACTCAGGCATGTTTGTGTTGTGACGGCTGGACCGCCACAACTATTCTTTGCAGACTTCGGATGAAAGCATTATTTTCACCTATCTTGATCCATGACTTTTTAAGCTACGTAAGTGAATGTTTTCTTGCTCTGCTTAAATTAGTTTGAGTTTCCATCACTCACAACTGAAAATAATTTTGATTAATGCACAATACACTGGGCACTCTTGTAGGTTGTTCCCAGAGGCAGCAACTTTTAACAACTTCTTTTGATATTTTTTTTCTCCACATATCTGAACAATAAGCCTTTACTATCCTTTTTGATTGATTTTAGTTAATAGCTACTGACTTCCTGTCATGATGATTGAGGACCCCTCCTCCCACTCCATTTTACAACCCCTTTCCCGTTCCTTAGAATTATGACAATGTTTGGTTAAGCCAGGAGTTAGAATTTATGTTATGATGAGTTTTTAAGCCTGGTTTATAGTTGAACTAAGTGCTGTACCAGGATTTTCTGTGGTACACTTTTAATCTCATAATTACTAATTGTGCTGGTTTTACATTTTTAAAATTTCAAAGTATCATTATGTATCTTTTGTAAATGCATCAACATGTCTGTCAACCATTTAGAAAAGGATGTTGTTAGCATTCAAAATCCCATTGCACTCTCTCTTTTGTCCTTACCCCACTGCTCCCATAGCCACTTATTTATTCGCCTTCTGTGGCCTAGACAAGCTGACAACCAGGCTTGGTACACAGACTGTCCAGAAATTTCCTTTGCCTGCTGACTTGCGTAGGAAAACAACTTGAGTCTCTACATAAATGTAGAAATGGCATCCTCTGTTTTATGGATTCCATGCCTTCTTTCGATCTCCTCAACATATCTTCTCCTCTCTTTGCTGCTCCAGAGTGACTTCCTTAGCAAACACTCATGAGAAGTAACTTTTATCCTTGCAAAGTTACACATGTTATTGTCCTTTTATACAAGCATGTCCAGTTTGTTTGATAGAAATATAGATTAAAAATAAATTTTTGGCAGAATTTGAAAAGCATTGCTTTGATTTCTCTTGTATCTAGTACTGCTTTGGAGGAAAATCAGAAGGCAATTATGACTGCTCTTTATATCTGCTATTCCTTGAGTCCATGATAATGTGATTTGTAGGTTTTAAGAACATTTATTGTGATGGGTATTGGGTGGGCCTTTTGAAACTTGAGACTTGTGTTCTTAGTTTTGCAGACCTTTTGTTAACATTATTTCTATTATAATTTCTACTCACCTAATTATGTGTTTTTAGAACTCAAATCGTCAGATATGGATCCCTCTTTGTCAATTTTCTAATTTTCTATGTTCTCTCCTGTTTTTTAACTCTTTACTTTTTGGTTTTCCTTTTGGGTGGATTTCCTTGGCTGCATTTTCCATTCCTTTAATTAAGTATGACTATTCTATTCCATTTTCATTTTCTAAATTCCAGGGGCTCCCTTTGTTGTTTGATTTAAGGAAAATTCATCCTATGCTTTTTAAAGCTGATGCATCATGTAAGCTCTGTGATAATTTTAATTGCAATTTTTGTTGTTGTTGTTGTGTTTAGGCTTGAATGTTATCTCATTGTCTGCATTTCATCCAAGATCCTTTTTTGTGAGGTGGAGCTATTGGAATAAAAGTCATTTTCCTCATTGAAGTGTCTTTGCAGGCACTTATTATCCCACATTGTGTGTTCATATATACAGCGAGGTACTGGAATGAAAGCTGGTTGGAATGTGTGTGTGTCTGTGCATCTGTGTGTTGGTGAGGATTTTGATCATGGACTTTATTACAGAGCTGACCATGTGGCCACTTCATCAAGAGATTATCAACCTCATGCCAGTTGTTTCTCAGGGATGGTTTAATTTCTCAAGAGAAGATTTCCCTAGTCTCTTGCCTTATGGGTGGTGAAGGTGAGGAAGCTGGTGGTGTCTTCAACAAGCTGTATTGCTGTCACATTCTGTGAGTCTAAAATGCTGCATCAGGGTCTGATTTTTGCAAGGAACTTGATACTGATTTCCAATCAGCACACTCTCATGCACAAAGAGAAGCTGTGGCTGAAATACATATTGTGTGAAGCTGTGGTGAAATACATATTCACTTATGTTTCAAATTCAAATAAAACATATATCTTTTGAGGAATGCATGTATCTTAGCTGACTTTTCTGACTCACCACCCAGCTGTTAATCTGAATTATGAGAAATCTTCTTTTGACCTCTTAATTTCTCTTGATTTCCCTTGATGAAGTAATGGCAATGATTATTCCTACCTTTCTTATCACTTTTTTGTTAGTCTATGGAGCAGCATCTGGTTCTTACATCAGGTGCTCCATAAATCTTTTTTGAATGAATGAATGACATTTTGAAACTTCACAAATACTTTACATCGTAATTTTATTAAGCTCTTTTTATAAATTAGGAAACTGAAGCTTATAAATGTCAAGGGATTTATTACAACATATAAAATGACTGAAAACAATAAGAGGAAATTAGATACAGATTGGACATCAGACAATAGAATAGAATTTTTGTTACTTCGTGAGTTTGCTTATAATATTATGGGAGAATATCTGTACTCTTAGGAGAGCCACGCTGAAACCAACATGGGGATGCCTCAAACAACTAGGATTAGAAGTCCCATTTTACCCAGCTCTGCTGGGTGTCTTCCCAAATGAATTAAAAGAATCATACCACAGTGATATATGTGCACTTATGTTTATAGTGGCACAGTTTGTAATAGCTAAAACTTGGAAACAGCCCAGTTGCCCATCAACTGGAGACTGGATAAAGAAGATGTGTTTTTTAAAATTTTTATAAAATGGAGTACTACTACTCAGCCATAAAGAATGAGAAACTAGAGATATTCATAGCTAAGTGGATGCACATTGAGGCCGTACTCTTAAGTGAAATTAATAGGACACATGTGTGAATACCGAATAGTCTCTCTAGTATGAAAAACTAAAAGTGCAAATAAGGATCAAAATGTATGATTGCTATTGTGTTATAGGAAGAAAAGGTCTAAAGGAGTAGGGGAAGTGGGAAGGGTAGGGGAAAGTTAAGAAGAAAAAGGAAGGGCTGGGGATTTAGCTCAGTGGTTCTGCCACCTGCCTTGAAAGCACAAGGACCAAATTTGATCCCCATCAAAAAAAAAAAAAGTCTTTGTAAATAGGGAAGGGTGGTGGGGATGAAGGGAGGGCAGGGGAATGGGGAAAACTAAGAACAAAGATATGTCAGATAAAGGTACAATGGTGAATCCCAATGGTGAATGTAACTGAATTGCATACCTAAAATGTACCAATAAACTTAATGAATTAAAAAATGTTTTGCCTGTGCATATATGTGTTTGTACACAGAAAGAAGATCAGTAAAAGTAAACAAAATTAATAACTACTGAATCAAGGAAGAGGGTGTGAGAGCTCATTGTATTACTCTTTAAAATTTTTCAATGTAAAGTCAGAAAAACTCAGACAAAAGCCTGGACCAAACTTTTACATAGAGAAAAGAAACCTATATGGGGGAAAAAGTCTGAAAATCTTATTGAAGGGGGCATGATTTAAGGGACTGGGGATCTTTTCTTTGGAAAAGAAAAGAATCCAGGGTAACAATAACATCAGTAATACTCAAAGGACCAACTACTTAAAAGGCAATAAGTCTTATCCTGTATAGCTATGGTGCAATATAAAA